CCACCCGGGAAGCCCTGCGGTGCTGACGGCAGAGTCACCAGATTGAAGGAACCCAGGTGCCTGTTGAACAGCCACTCACTGGACAGGAACACTCTTTTAGATGTCATGAATGAGAAATGAACTTCTACTGGTTAGAAGAAACTTCTGGAGAAAGGTCTAGAAGGGAAGGAAGGAAGGAGGAATGGGAAGGGAAGGGAGGGGAAAGGAAGAGAGAAAGAAAGAACACACCAGTTGGCCGGAGGAGATACTTAGAAGGATCATTTTCTGGGGGCATCTGATGAAACCATGAGAACAATTGAGCTTTCTGATGAGAGAGAGGCAGATTAAGCCTCTTGGGGGGACCAGAATTAAAAGGTAGGTGGAGGAGGAAAAGTACTCAGGTGATTGATACACATAAGAAATATCACTTCAATTGTACCCAGGGCCTTCTAGCCCTGGATGCTGCCTCTGAACACTGAAGGACGGTTTATAGCAGGTAGAATGATGTCAACTTCAAAAGGCTGATGTTCTTTAAGCACCCCAACCCTGCTCATGCGGTGCTTCTGAACATTCACTCCACAAATGAGTGTATTGTTTCCTGTGTGCCAGACACTGTTCTAGGCACTGGGGATACAGAGTGAACAAAATGGACTAAACTCTCTCATGGTGCTTATATTCTGGTATGTAGCCAATAAACAAAATAAAAAAGCAAAATATACACAATAAAAGGCGTTAATAGGTGCTGACGAATAAAATAAGGCAGGGGGGAGAAAAGGGACTATCAGGAGTGGTGTTGCAACCTTAGAAAGAGTGGAAGGCTTATGAAGGTGTCACGTGAGTGAACATCAGAAGGTGGTGCACATTCCGGGAAATGGGAACAGCAAGGGCCAAGGCCTGAGCGGAAGCGTGCCTGGAATGCCTGAGGAGCAGCAGAAGCCAGAGGAGAGGTCATGTGACGTGAGGTCAGAGAGAAATAGCTGGTATGGGGTGAGGGGAAGAGAGAGACCTTGTAGGGCCTTTAGGCCATTGTAAGACTTTGGCTCTTACTACGAATAGAATGGTTTGGAAAAATTGGCTAACTATTTACCAGACTGTTTCCTCTTTATCTGCTGTGAATACAGGACTACATCCCCCAGCCTCCCCCTCACAGTGGCCATGTGACTGAGTGCTGGCCAAAGGAAGAGAGGCAGAAGCAATGTCCCCCGCTTCCACTACTGGCTGTGCAAATCTGCCATGTGCGATTCTTCAACTTCTTTCTCTTTCTGTGACCACCCTGGAAGCCATGTTGTGCTGATGGCGGGGTCACAGGTTGGAGGAACGTAGGTTCCTGTTAAACAGCCATTCACTGCACAGGAACACCCTTTTAGACTTCACAAGTGAGAAATGAACTTCTATTGGTTATTTTATGCCAGTGATAGAGTGAGGTTTATCTCTTACGTAGCTAACATTACCCTAATGTCACAGATAGGAAGCCATCAACAGCTTTTGAGCATAGAAGTGACATGATCTAAGAAGAGGTTGAATGTAGAAACAAGGAACCCACTTAAGAGGCTTTTGCAACAATCAGGGAATGATAAAGACGGTGTGGCCCAGGGTGGTAGCAGTGGGAATAGTGAGAAGAGTCAGACCTAAATACACTTTGAAAGTACTTTAAAAGGATTTCCTGATGCACTAGAAATGAGGTGGAGAAAACAATGGGAATTAAGAATGTCTCCAAGGTTTTGACTAGAAAACCAAGATGGAAGAGACTTTGAGGGGAGCAGGTTTTGAGAGCTAACATTGGGAGATTATAAATATGCTGAGATTCTTATCAGACTTTCAAATGGAGATTTCAAGTAGGCAGCTGGATCTGTATCTCTGGAGTTCACAGTGGGCTGGACTAGAGATGTAAACTTGGGAGTAGCTGGTGTGTGTTTGGTATGAAAGCCATGAGTTTTGATGAGAAGAGACTCAAGGCCTGAGTCTTGGACATTTCTAATTTTCAGAGGTGGTGGAGGGTGTTGGCGAGAATAAGTCAGCAAAGGAAACTGAGAATAAAAACCAGTGACGGAGAAGAAAAACCAGGAGAGCGTAGTATTCTAGAAGCCAAATGAAGAAAGTGTTTCAAGGAGAAAGGAGTAAATCGTACACACCACATTCTCATAAGAGTGAGGTGTTGCCCATTGACGCCAGCAATATGGGAATCAGATGTGGTGGGGTAGTGGGTGCAGAACCTACTGGAGGAGTTCTGGGGAGAATGGGGAGCAAGAAATTGGAAACCCTTTCAAAGAATTTGCTATAAAATGGTGGAGGAAAATGGAGCATAGAAGCCAAGAGAAATTTTATTTTATTTTATTTTTTTAATCCTCACTTGAGGACATTTTTTTTTCATTGCTTTTAGAGAGACAGGGGCAGCCCTCAACCTAAGTATGTGCCCTGATCGGGTATTTATCCCAAAACGTTTCAGTTACTGGATGATGCTCCAACCAACTGAGGCACACTGGTCAGGGCATTTTGCTGTTTTTAAATGAAGAAATGAGGGTATGTGTACAAGAAATATCAGCTTGTTTATTGCTGGTGGGAAGAATCTAGGAGCAAGAATGAAATCGATGATGTAGCAAAAAGAAGGGAGAATTTCTCGGGCAATTTCCTTGAGTGGGGGAGATGGGATGAGATCTAGCATCAAAGGGGAAGAGCTGAACTTTGCTTAGAGCAGAGACAGTTCTTCCATAGCAACAAGGAGAGAAGTGAGATCTGTGGGTCTGCTTCTGGGTAAATTGTAGACATGGTAGCGAGAGCTTGGAGTTGTCTTTTAATCGCTATTGTGTTCCCATTGAATTGGGAAGCTGGGTGATCAGGGGGACCCTGGGAGTTTGAGAAGGCAGAAGGTGTGAAATGCCATTCAGCAGAGTAAACAGGCAAGGGAAACACTGTACAATCTCCAGGAAACATTAGGGACCATCTGATGCTTGTGATTATGACTTTGGGGTGAGGCTGGTTAGTATGGCACATGTTTTTTGTTTTTTGTTTCCAGGCAAGTTTAAAGGTATGGTACAGGCACAGAGTTGGTAGACGGTCGGACTTAGCCAAGTGACTAGAATAAAGCGGAAGAGACACAAAGGTGTTGAGGGTGCCTGCGAAGGAATGATAATAGTAATGATTCATTATGGAATCCAGGCTGGAGGGGAGGGCAACAAGGACACGGGGGAAGTGAGGGACAGTGAGAACCCGGAAGGAGCAGCAGGTTGTAGGATCGGTGGGGATGAAGGATTATGGGACTCAGGGGGATAGTTAGGAAGTCGTATAGCTAGAGAACGGGAATAAGGGCTGAGGTATAGTTATTGACAAATTCTAGGGTAAAGTCAGGGAAGTTGATGGCTGAGGAGGGTGGAGGATGGAACCACTGGGCAGCAGTTTGAGGAACAGTGACCGTGAGAAGAATCATTTATGGGGACAGCGATCTAGGAGCTTACTTTTCAGCCCTCTAACAATTTCAGTCTGAAAACCACTTCAGGGAAGAGAAAGACCCTCCTAGGAAATCTTAAATCAAAACAACGTGTCCAAAAACACTTTCCAGTTGGAAGGTTGGGCAGCCTTTCTGAAATATTTATAGTTTGGTTTTTATTGAATGTGAAATATTGCATATTTTAGAAAGAGGCTGGCCCATGAGCTATCTGACAGACACTCCTTAGTGACTCTCTTGATATGTAATTTATGAACCTCTGATTTTATTTGTGCTTTGAGCCTGTATGTTCTCTCTTTGGAATTGATACTTTAATAAGCACTTACAAAGAGTATTGATGTTTCAAGGTGGTGTCATATGCAAAAGAAATGGAGCCAGTGTTTGTAGGGCTGAGACATTAGCAAGTTTGGCCACAAAAGAGAAACTCCCCGACCTCACACCTAGTCTGTCTACCTCCGCAGGAACCTTTGCGCAGCCGCAAGCCTGACTTCCGTTTAGAACACCAGGGCCAGGTGAGCGAGTCCGAGGCGGGGAACGGACTGAGGAAGAAGGTCCAAGCCTGAATCAGAAAAGAGGGACTAATAAGAAAAACTGGCAAAAAGGGAAATGGAGAGGCCCTTGGCTAGAATTCATATGTGGCCCCTCATACTTGTCCAGAGTAGTTTGAACAGAGAAGAAAACACATTTTTTTTTTTTTTGTATGTGGTCTTCCTTTCAAGTTTTAAATTAGATAAATAGAAGCTTGGTGAGGCATCTCTCAGAGGCGTATTTCTTCTCTCGTTCTCTTTCGCTTCTCTCCCAAGTCTCTTCTGTTTCCTTCTCTTACCACCTCTCCTCTCTGTATTTCCTTTCTTCTCTGGCTTCCTCCCCCCACCTTCCTCTTCGCCTCCAGTTTGTTCTATTCCACCTCTCCTTTTGTCCTGCTTCCCTTTCCTTCCTTCTCTCTAACTCTCGGTCAGGGAGCACGTCTTCTTGTGCCTGCCTGGTGGTGGAACGGAGGGGCGGCGAGGTGTGGGGATGCGCGGTGGTGAGGTCACGCAGTTCTGTGCTGGAGTAACGCTTCTCATCCGGAAGCCGTGCTCCCAAGTGGGTCTCCAAGGAAAGGCTATGCTATCAGCGTGAGGTTTTTCCTTCGTTGTGGCTTTCTCATTCTCTCCATCCAGAGTCCCTCAGGAAGTTGAACACTGCACAGTGGTGTTGACGAGGGCTGCTTAGATTCTCCCCACTGTGAAAGGGTGGCTCACATAGAATTTCCTATTAGTGTAGTAGAGAAAAATATTTGATAAGATCTCACTTGCCTAAAAAGCTCTTCTGTGAGCACATAGATACTCTGTTAATTTTTTAAATTGTCAACTGTTAATAACAGGTATCTTATAAGAGTTATTAGTTTATTAACAATATTTTACTTTAGAAAACACAAACCATTCTGTCTATCTCTGGGCAGGCAGAGGCACATAGGCAGTAGTTAACGAGTGTTCATTAAATGTATACATGGATGGGTGGATGAACCTTGAAGCATGGAGCGATGAGGGCTGGGCCCAGGAAAGCATGACCCCCACCCTGCCCCCCCACTCCTGGCCTAGCTCCTCCTCACTTTCTGCAGCAGAAGGTTGGGGCTCCCCAAGAGCTCTGGACAGGAGAAGGGAGAGCCAGCCGCCCACCTCCTCAAAGGAAGAGCCCATGGAAACTCTGCAGAGGCAGCCTTCACGTCTCCACCCAGCAGAGGGGGAGCAGCTCTAGCGACAGCAGTGTTATCCTAGTCTCTGTCCTCTCAGAGCCACTTGGTAAGGACTCTTACGGGTCTCTGGGGGCTCCTGAGGTGCCACACTCAGGGTTTCACTCACCGTAGTCGGAGGTAAAGAAGAACGGGGCAGGGGGGGAAAAGGGCGAGGTGGTTGTAGCTGGCACGTCCAACTCCCACCCCTTAGCCCCCAGGAAGCACCCTCAGGACCCTAGGATCTATGCCTGAGGTCCAACTCCAAGCCTGTCCCGTGGAGGCAGCTAGACCAATCCTATGACCGTACCTATGAACAAGGCCAGCTGTGGCCTCGTGGAGGCTGCCAAAGTGCTGAGGAGCGAGAGGGGCTGCGGCCCAGAGGGGTTCTCTCTTTCCCACTCTCCACAGGTGAAGGACTCCCTCCAACTGAGGTCACGTGTGCAAGGAATGCTGTCTTCAGAGGAAATATCTTTCTCTGGGTCAAAAAGAGAATGCATTTGTTTGTCCTTTAATTCACAGAGCACGCTCACAGATTATGGCCAACATTTGTGCGGTAATTGTTATGGGTAAGGCACTGTTCCAAACAATTACATGCAGTAATACTCATTTAATCTTCACAGTAGCCCCTGGGGGTTAGTGTTGCTGTTGTCCCTGAGGAATCTGGGGCCCAATGAAGTTAAGTTACTTACCCATGGTCACATGATGAGGAGGCGAAGACAGGATTCAAAGCCAGGGAGCCTGGCTCCAGAGCCTGTGTTTTTACCACTACTTCTTGCTAACAAGGCAATGCCAGTAAAAGGAGGGGTCCACTGTTGCTTGGAGAGGTTAACTGAGTGAATTTGCCCTCTGCTAGCTGAACTAGCGATGGCCTTGAACCCAGATGGCCTTAAGCCAGAGCCTGTTCCTGGTCCACTTGGCTTTGGCTGCTCAAAGGATGGCTCACAGCCCAGCAGCTTTGGCACCACCAGGGAGCATGTTAGAAAAGCACAGTTTCAAGGGAACGCTTTATAACCTGTATGAACATCTACCCACTGTGCTATACGCCTGAAACTAACACAAAATAATGTTGCATGTAAAATGTAATAAAAACATTTAAAAGAAATGCACAGTTTCAGGTTTACCCATAGCCAATGAATCAGATTTTGCATTTTAACAAGCCCCCCAGTCTGCACATTTAACTTTGGGAAGCACTTCAATAGATCACACCCCCTGCTGATAGGAGTTGAAAGGTTTAGCCATAGAGGTAAGCGCTGGGATGCTGGTTTTTCCAAATATAGTGCGTTCTCTCTCCCTCTCTCCTTCTCTCCCTCTCTCCCTCTTTTCATCCAAAAGTTCCAAGAGACTGAAAGGGTACAGTACTTGGCCCATCAAGAAAACAAGGGTTTCTTCAGCTCCATGGAAAAAGAGTTCTGAGGACACCCTAGGATAATTAACTGAAAGCAGCCCAGGGCCCTGACCAGTGTGGCTCAGTTGGTTGGGCGTCACCCAGCAAAGTGAAAGGTTGTGAGTTCAATTTCCCAGTCAGGGCACATGCCTGGGTTGCAGGTTCAGTCCTCGGTCCAGGCATGTACGAGAGTCAACCTACCAATGTTTCTCTCACATTGATATTTCTTTCTTTCTCTCTTCCCCTCTCTCTAAGAGTAAATGAATAAAATCTTAAAAAAAAAAAAAGATATCAGCCTAGGGACATCTTGGGAGTCGTTCCTATGACACCAGATATCCAATGACTGAAGTCCCAAAATATATTTGAAATGTTCTTTCTGTTTTCCTCACCTCTGACCTCAAAAGGTATGGGGTGTGTGTGTGTGTGTGTGTGTGAGAGAGAGAGAGAGAGAGGGAGAAAGATTGAATATATGTAAAAACAGAAATAAATCACCATTTTATTATCAGTCACATAACATGAGAAATCATTCATAGACTTGGAGAAAATGGGGGCCAGCTTCAGCTCCACTCACTGTTTAGAACAGGGGCTGGGAACGGGCAGTCTCCAGGTCAGAACTGGCCTGCAGATATGTTTTAGATATGTTTTGTTTGCCCGCTACTGTGCTTTAGCTTTTTCATGGGTGGGGGAGATGTCACATAAAAATCCAGATTTTTGGCTTCTCTTGAAAAATCAGAGTATCTGGCAACACCAGGCTTGTGTGCTAACATGGAAACAGTTCATTGACGCCTTAGTTGAAACTTTCGCTTTCTCTTTGCCACTGTCGCCACTACTCCCTATTGTCTCCTCAATGCCGAAACCCAGTGTCAGCCCAGCTGTTGCTATACTTATTAATAGAGTTAAGAGAAAAGTCAACCATTTCTTAGATCCATAACATGTAGACTCTTTACCCACTTATACCACCTACTGACAGTAGAGTTCATACTCCCGGGTTTGGATGAAAATTAACACAGCCTCCTTAGGATCTATATACTCCTCTAAGTTTTTAAATATAACATGAAATTCTGGCTGCCTTCTGAGCCAATTTGGAGGAATGATTATTTATTAGTAGTGTGGTGCACAGATATTTACTGAGCTCCTATTGCGTTCCCAGCCTAGTGCTTGCCACTGTGGAGAATTCAGAGGCACAAGAAAAACTTTAGCATTGGTTGAAGAAACAACATTGAAACCTATGAAACAATTAGGAAATAATGTAAGAGAGGTTATGACGGAGGAAAGATTTGTCTGGGCAGAAAGGTGATGGGTGTGCCTGGCAGGATAGGTAGGACTTAGACCGCGGCTTTAGGTGGATTGGGCAGAGGACGGGTGAGGAAGCATGGGAGCGACAGCCCAGGCCTGACTAGCGCGGGAGATTTGGGCTGGAGAAGGAGATGAGGCTGAGAGTACTTGACTGAGGACAACAGGGTAACCAGGTGCGGTGCGTAAGAGGGCGGAAGTTGGAGTCCTGCTTGCCCAAATGAGTGGATTTTGGTTAAACCAAAACCTGGAGATTAACAGAGATTCGGCTACTTTTCCCAGAATGTGTCATGCTCTCACACAGACTCTGTCTCCTCCCAGAAGGCCCTGACTCATCCGCTTCGGCCTGCCCACGGGTCCTCATCCACTCAGTTGGCTCAGACCCTAGGCCTTCCCGACGGCTTCCTGGGAAGAAAGAGGCCCTCCTGTCTTTGGGCCCTTGTGGCGTCTCAGGCATGAGCTTTGAATGTTGCCCAGAAGAAGAGGTTTTGTAATTTGGGGATTTACGCATCTGACTCCACCAAATTATAAATCCCTTGAAAGCAGTACTATGTCTTTCTTCATTGGGACTTCATAGCCTTCAACAGTGTTTGGCACTTACCAAGTGCTCAGTGCATGTTTCTGAGTGAGCAAATGAATGAATGAACGAGAAGATTGCTGCAGTAGTCCAGGCAAGAGGTGATAAGGTAGATTGGGATAGGATCTGTTGGGGTAGAAATGAAGTAAAGGTATAGGAAACATTTCAAAGAAAGAAATTGGTAAGATTTGGTTGCCAAATTGACTATGGTGACCAAAGAGTCTAGAGGAACTTGAACTAAGGTATAAAAGGACATCAGGACAGCTAGAAAAGTTGGGATTGGGAGCTGGAGGGGAATCTCATTGCTACGCCTCCAGAGCAGAAGCTTCTCTGAGACTCGGGTGCCCTGTACCCTCTGTTTACCTGAGCTTTCCTTTTTGGTCTCCGTCTTTTCGCTGCTCCTGGAACTCCAGGCATTTCAGGATCAAGGAAATGAAGGTCAAAAGGAAAAAATAGAGCATGAAATTCTCATTGTAAATCTTGTTTTTAGTTCTATCTTCCCCAACCAAGCTTTAGAGGCAGGTACAAATCTGAAAAAGGCCAGTTGTGTCTCTGTTGGGTAGGTGTGGCACATACTAAAATGCCAGAAGGGAAAATAGGGGAGGGGGAGATGGGAGGGGCTGGGGTGATGGGGAGCAGAACCCATGCTGCTGATTCTGCCGAGGGGGAGTGGCTGTGGCTCCATCTGTTTGGTCCTGCGTCCCAGCCATATATTTTATTTGCTCTTAAGTTGCATATTGTTGCCAACAGGCAAAAACTGATATAATTGCAACCAGACTCGAGCCTGCCTGAATGAGGGGAAAAGTCATCACTCAGACCTTCATTCTGGGGAATTAAAGGGAAGAAACTAACAGCCTGTACAAAGCAATTGTTGAGCCAAAATTAACTTCTCCCTGCCCTCACATCCCTCTGATCTGTTTTGTACGTGACAGCCCAAATGGGGTTGCCATAGCTTCCTGGCTGGTCTCTCCGCACCTGCTCCTCCTCTCTTCTTATCAACTGTCACTGCGACAGCCAGCCTGACCTTTTCAACATGTAAATTGGCTCATGTTACTTCCCAGTTAAAAATGGTGCTAAGGCTTTCATTACACTTAAAAGTCTAAGTTCATTTGCATGTCTTCCCAGGTCCTGCTTGGCTATGTCCCTGCCCACTTCTACTAATGTCCTTCCGTGACCACCTCGCTTCCCACACTGTCCTTCCTTCCCTTTCTCTAAACTCACCTAGCTTCTTCCTCAAGGTCTTACAGCCTCAGTCTTACTCTCATTTTTTTCCTTTAACCTGTTCGATGTTGTCCACCTTGACCTGGCTACTGCCCATTTCTCCTTCAGCCTTTAGCATCCTCTGGCCTTCTGGAAATGTTCAAAGCTGTTTGTGCCAGATGTGGCCAATAGGCCCCCAGGATTTCTTCTTTCCTTTTCCCTTGGGGGCAAGCATCTAAATCTGTGTTGGGCACATGCAAAATAGAGAATGCATTTCCCAGCCTCCCTTGCAGCTGGGTATGGTCATGTGACTGAATTGTGGCCAATGAATATAAACAGAAGCCATCCTTCAAATAGTAATTTTAAAAATTTAAATTTTCTAACACATTGAGACAAAAAGTTACTTCAACGTATCTTGTTCTGTTAGAGTCCAGCACTCTCTCCAGCTCAAGCAGTACAATATCTAATCCAGAAATTTTTAATTTCAGATTTTTTTATACAACATGCAGAGTGATGACCCCAGCATAAGCTCTTTAGTAGTGGGCAACTAACACGTTTTTTTTCTTCTGTTAAAAATTTTCTACCTCCAGCCCAAGGCAGACTTAATAACACACGTTCATATTTATTAAGAGTTGGCTTAAATCTGCCACTGTATCTCCTGAGGAGCGTGACAAGCACTCCATGCTTTTGAGCCCACTTAATCCTGATAATATCTGGATAAGGCTGGAACTACCATAGCTTCAAATACACAAATCTGAAGACTGAAGCCCAGAAGAGTCAAACAATATGCTCACGGGCTCACAGTCAGAGCAGTGACTTGGCCCCAGTTCTGTGTGAGTTCTTACCCACCAGGAGAGATTGTCTTCGCTGAGTTTATTGGTTTTCAGCTGACTAACAGCATTCCAAAAGAAACTTTTGTTTTTGTTGCTCTGTCTCTGAGCTGCTGGTCCCTGTTGTGACAAAAACCTCTTCTTTGGTACTTCATTTTTCTCTTCCGGTGATATTTACGATTTCTCTCTGTTCTCCCTTTTCTTTAAAACCACAGATCAAATTCACTAGGACCCTGGATGTCACGTAATCTTTGCTCTCTGGCTGCGGCGCGCAGTGGTCTAAGTACTCTCTAATCCTGTCTCTCTCATACCAACCGGTCTTAACACTCAAACCCTAAGTTACCTATACATACAGGGCCATTTCCTCAGGCATATAAAGCCCAAGCAGGGGCCAGGGGAGTAGGTCAAGGAGCCCAAGTTTTAGACAGTATTTTAAACACTGTTTTGTTAGTGTCTCTGTAGGACCAGGACCTGGATTAAAAATTAGGTTTTACTGTTCCACCTGCATTACTAAGGTATTCTTATTATTGAAGAATTATCTTTCATTTTTTATAAAATTCTTCCTCTGGAATCAAGCCTCCTAGGCTTGCTATGTGGAGAAAAGAATAAGGCAAAGAGAACTGGGAAAAGGATGCCCTGGGTCGGGGACAGCACTGGATCCCAAGTGGCAGCATTTCATGCCCCTCCCTGTGCACATTAACCAGATTACTTGGCCTTTGGGTCTCATAGGCTAGACCATCTGGGCTGCAGGAAAGAACGTCAGGCTGGCTTGGTATAAGTCATGTACCTGAACCGGTTGTGCTGGTGCAAGTCGGCAAAAATCCGAGAGAGGGCCTCACTCTCCCCCTTGGCCATCACGTGCATGAGGCTCTCGCTGGGCTGGGAGGCTTGGAGTTTCTCTTGTACTAACTAGATGGAGAAAAAAAGCAAAGCCAGGCGATTAACACCTGAGGGTTTCTGTATTTTCCTAAGATCATGGTCCAGACCCTGTTCCACTGGGTGATCATGTCACAGGTTCAGAGAGGCAGTTCTGAGACCATATCTGCTTATACTCCCTGTATTGTTATAAATATTCTTTGGTACCCTAATGATAATATTGTCATTAAATTATTTAGCAGATAACCAATTCTTATTAATGTTATCAAATATCCTGTTCATATAAACTTTAATAAAGCTTATGCTACTTGGTTTTATATTTAAATGTAGGAGAATCAAATATTTATTGTAGATTTAATGACTGTTTAAAAACTTAACCTCTCTAAGAAAAATCCTATATTGAGCTGCTTTCCAAAAAAATTATTTATTTATTTTTAGAGAGAGGGGAAAGGAGGGGGAGAGAGAGAGAGAGAAACGTTGATATGAGAGAGGAACATCGAGAGCTTGTACACGCCTCCCCGCCACCCCTTCACTGGGAACCTGGCCCACAACCCAGGCATGTGCCCTGACTGGGAATTGAACCAGCAACCTTTCAGTGTGCAGGCTGGTTCTCACCACTGAGCCACACCAGCCAGGGCTGAGCTCCTTTTTATACCTGGCCAAAATTGCTTTCTTTCCTGTTGCCTGTGATACCCCAAAGGTGTTCCAGAAGTGCAAGCTGCTCATATTCATTCCCTCACACTTTATTGAATGTCAACTATGTGTCAAGCACTGGGGATATAGCAGTGAAGAAGACAGATAAAAATCCCTGCATTCATGGAGTTTATGTTGTAGTTCAAGCCAGTCAGTCTCACATCGTATTCTAAGGCCTGGGGCAAAAATAAACAGGTAGCTTCACTGGTGGATTCTATTAAATACTTAAAGAAGCAGTAATACCAATTCTTCATAAACTCAGAAAATAGAGGAAAAGGGAACACCAAATCATTCAAAAAGGCTAGTATTACCCTAACACCAAAGTCAGGATATCACAAGAAAACTAGAGACCAATGTTTCTAATAAACACAGATGAGAAATCCTTAACAAAATGCTTGCAAACCAAATCATGTAACATATAAAAGATATTAAACATATACACCATGACCAAGTGGAACTTATTGCAGGAACACAAGGTTGATTTAACATCTGCAAATCAATTAATGTAATACACTATGCTGACAGAATAAAGGGCAAACTACCTGGCCATCTGAATAGATGCAGAAAAAAATACTCTACAAAACCCAATACTTATTTATGATAAAAACTCTCAATAAACAAGGAATTAAAGGGAATTCCCTCAACCTGATAAAGGGCATCTACACAAATCCCACAGTTAGCATCATACTTAATGAAAATGGAATTTTTTCTCCCTACTGTGTTTGCTACTTCTATTAAACATTGTACTAAACGTTCTAGTTAAGGCAGTAGGTGATAAACAAACAAATGTATCTTAATTGGAAATGAAGTAAAATTGTTGCTTATTTGCAGATCATACATACACACACACATACAATACCAAGGGGCCCACAAAAAGTACTGTCTAGTAAACAAGATTAATATACAGAAATCAATTGTATTTCTATATACTACCAATGAATGATGCAAATGTGAAATTAAGAAAACACAGTTCCATTCAGCCCTGGCTAGCATGGCTCAGTGGATTGAGCACCAGTCTGTGAACCAAAATGTCATTGGTTCAGTTCCCAGTCAGGACAGAAGCCTGGGTTATGGGCCAGATTCCCAGTTAGGGGTATGTGAGAGGCAACCAATGTTTCTCTCACACATCGATGTTTCTCTCCTGTTCTCCCTCCCTTCCCCTCTCTCTAAAAATAAATAAATAAAATACTAAAAAAAGAAAACACAATTCCATTCAAAATAGTATCAGCAAAATAAAATACTTAGGAATAAATTTAACTAAAGAAGTACAGAACTTGCACACTGAAAACTATAAAAACATTGCTAAGAGAAATGGAAGAGGACTGAAATAAATGGAAAGGCATTCCATATTTTTGTATTGGAAGACTCAATATTATCAAAATGGCAATTCTCTTCTAATTGATGTATAAACTCAACATGTCCTTGTCAAAATTCCAGCAGTCTATTTTCTGGAAATTGAAAAGCTGATCTTAAAATTTATATGGAAATGCAAAGGATCTAGAATAGTCAAAATAATTAGAAAAAGAACAAAGTTGGAAGACTTACAACAACGAATTTTACAACTTACTATAAAGCTACACTAACCAAGACATTGTGGTATTAGCACAAGAACAGGCAAACAGGTGAATGAAACAGAATTGAAAAAACAGAAATAAATCCTTACAATTACTGTCAATTAATTTTTGGCAAAAGTGACAAGACAACTCAATAAGAAAAGGATAATCTTTTCAACAAATGGTACTGGGAAAACTGTACATCAACGTGTGAAAACAAAAAGTACTTAGACCCTTACCTCACACTATACCCAAATAGTAACACAAAGTGAATCACAGACTTAAATGTAAGAGCTAAATCTATAAAATTTCTAGAAGAAAACATAGGATAAAATATTTGTGACTTTGGGTTGAACAAAGAAGTCTTAGCTACAATATCAAAGCCAGATCCATAAAAGAAAAAAAATTGATAAATTGCACTTCATCAAAATTAAAAACTTTTGCTCTACGAAGGACACCATTAAGAAAATAAAAAGTTCACACACTGAGAAAATATTTGCAAATCATATATCTGATAAAGGACTTGTATCAATAATATACAAAGAATTATAGCAACTCAATAAGAAGACAAAATTCAATTCAAAAATGGGCTTTTTAACAAAAGACTTGAATAACATTTTACTAAAGAAGACATAAGTGACTAATAAGCCCATGAAAAGTTGCTCAACATCATTATCCATCAGGGAAATCCAAAAATAAAATCACTACATATCCACTAGAATGGCTTTAATCAAAAAGATAAACAATACTAGTGTTGGTGAGAATGTGAAGAAACTGAAACCCTCATGCATTGCTGGTAGGAATGTAAAATGGTGCAGCCACTGTGGAAAACAACCAATTTATTTACAATTTAAAGATAAATTTAACATATGACTCAGCCATTTCATTCCTTGGAATCTACCTGTGACAAATGAAAACTATGTCTATACGAAAACTTATACCCAAATGTTCATAGTAGCATTATTCATAATAGCCCCAAACTGGAAACAATCCAGATGTCCATCAACTGGTGAATGGATAAAAAAATATGTGGTTTATCTATGCAATGGAATACTATTCAGCAATGAAAAGGAATGAATTATTGCTAGTCTGTGACTCTGTCACAGAGTTGGCCCCATATTGTGACACAGATGAACCTGAAAAAATTACACTGAGTGAAAGAAGCCAGACACAGAAGACTATAGATATGGTAGGGTTTTGTTTATATAAATGTTTAAGAAATATGAATTTACAGAGATTGAAAACAGATCAATAGGGACAGGGAATGACTGCAAATGGGCATGAGGGGAATTTTTAGAGTGATGGGAATGTTCTAAGGCTGGATTGTGATGATGGCAGCATAACTCTACACATTGACTGAAAGTGTTGAACTGTGCACTTACAGCGAGTGAATCTTACAGTCGGTTGTACAATATAACCCAATACAAGACAGGGATGGCCTTCACAAGGTGCTCACATACCAGCTCACCTAAGCCCTACCCTCAGCTCTGGCCTGGCGGGAGGTGGCAGTGGTGCTCACTTACGTTAGAGTCTCCTGAGGGGCTGCAGCTGTTCTTGGGTACCAGACAGTGAGTGATGAGGATCCTAGGGTCTTTGGTGGTGATGGACAGGCCCTGCTGCAGAATTTGAACTAGTCGGACCCAGAAGTAGAAAACAATCTCAGGATGGTCAGAGTGGAGTCTTAGGTAGTAGATCTTCTCTGTGACTGTCCTCAACCGCAGGATGCGTTGCAGCTGGTCACAGACTTGGAGCTCCACGAATTTCAATGGGAGAATCCTGAAGACATGAGGGAAGACACACATTGACAACCCCATTGCTTCTGATCCAACCCAGTCTGCCTTAAGGTGAGGAGTGTCTCCTTCAGGACTAAGGCTCCTGGAGGGAGGAAAGAGAGTGCTTAGCAAAGTAGGGCTCAAACTTTACAGAGATCATATTCACCTGGACAGCTTGTCTAAGATGCAGACATCTGAAGATACCCCTCAGATTCAGTCGGTCTGGGGTGTGTCCCTGGAATCTGCATTTGAACCTCCACCCATCCTGCCACGATTTTCAGGCTGGTGCCCCAGGACCCTGCCTGAGTGAGACAGCCCAGGAGTGAGGTAGCTGGGGTCAAAGGGGTTTCCAATTTCCTTCTTGATAGCACAAAGGGATCTACCCTTCTCTGCCACAAAGTTGGCTCCCCCGTCCGGCTTGCCCAGTGATTGACCTTATTGTCTCATATTCTTCCCAAAAGAGCTAAGGTTTGGGGAGCTGGCTTTGGGTCGAACAGTAGCCAGCTGTGGCTGGGCTGTGCTTGCTATAGGTACACCAGAACATAATGGAGATGTTCATCGCTGAGGCAACGTGGAGAAATGAAAGATTTACTTGGATTTCTGGAAATACCTAGAGATTCCTAAATATCCTACAGATTACTTGAAGAGGCTCAAATATTTAAAAAGGCTGTTTCATCCTAGACAAGCATGATGTCACTCTATGTCACAGTTCTAATGACACTTAGCTCCACTTATTTTACCAGTAAGAAAACTGAGATGCGGCAAGTAACCTATGACTCAAACATTATGAGTCTCTTCAGTTGTATGCCAAGGACTAGAACCTGCAGCTCCCAACCTACGTTCCGCTTGCCAGATCTCACTGCTTCCTTGCTCCAAGGCAGAGAGAGTCTCCAAGAATCCAGTGGGGTGAATGCAGTGAGAAGAAAGGCGAGCATGTAGATTGGCCCCTCATTCCTGTCCACACAATGCCTCCACCTGACCAAGACGCTTCTGCATGCCCACTGTCAGCTTACCAGTGTCTGACAAAACCAATGTCACTGCTGATGGAGTCTCTGCTTTCTCTAACCTTGAGTTTAGTCACAAAGCAGCCTTTGCTCTGGGTACCCCCCGGCCCGCCCGCCACTTGTCCTTCATTCCCACTGGTGTAGCTTACCTCTTCAAGATGATTTTTGGGGCCATGGATGGTCTGTTCCATGTCTGGCTCTGCCCCCGGCGCCATTTGACGCTGGCCATGAGGAGGGTGTTGGGAAGGGGCAGGCAGGGCACAGAGGAGGTCACCCCGAGGGCCATGGTGTAGGAGGCTTTGTAGATGTCAATCCAGTTCCTGTCTTTTTTCACCTGCAAAGCAGCCCCAAGGGCACAGCCTGAGCGTTTGGCAGAAGCCGCAGAGCATTTCAGCTGTGAGTTTCTCAACTTTGGCAATATTCACATTGCGGGCAGGATGGTTCTTTGTTTGGAGAGGGGGCTGTCCTATGCACTGTAGGGTGTTGAGCAGCATCCTCAGCCTCTACCAACTAGATATGCCAGTAGCAATGCCCTCCCGCACCCTGCCCAAGTTGTGACAACAAAAAATGTCTCCAGGCACTGCCAGATGTTCCCTGGTTTTGAACATTCGTTAATTCATTCACTTATTTAGAGGGGAAGAGAGGAAGAAAGGGAGAGAAACATTGATGTGAGGAGGAACATCGATCAGTTGCCTCTCGTACACACCCTAACCAGGGGTTGAACACACAACCTAGGCGTGTGCCCTGACCGGGAATCTAATGATGCCCAACCAGCTGAGCCACACTGGGCAGGGTAAATGTTCCCTGGTTTTAGAAGGCAAATCGTTGCTAGATGAGAACCACTGTTTTAGTCTGTATTGATTGAACAACTGTAGCAGTATTTACACTACCTGCTGCTAGCAACTGCCCACAAGAACTATAACCCAGAAGTCCCCTGACATGTGTCACATTTCCATGAACCTTCCCTAGACTGTTTCCTGGCTTTTCTCTGAAAAAACATTCTTTGGCCCTTCTCTGAGGGGCCTTATCATCTCCTGCACTTCCCTGCACTGCAAGGTCCCTTGCAACTCCCAAGCTCCGTGCTGGGAGCCCATGCAGGGAAACAAACATGCACTGAGTGCCCCTTGTACGAAGGCCTTTGCCTCCTGGGTTTGCATATGATCCTCATGTCATCCGACCCCTTTTACATTAAGGAACACTGGGAATCAGAGTGTCCAGGTCCCTTGCATAGGATGCCTCCTGACAAGAAAGCAGTGGCCCGCACTCCAAGCCCAGGTCTCTCTGGGGGCCCCGTTTTTGTTCTCTCATCAATCAGCGTTTCTGTTCCAAACCCCCAAAGGGCGCCTTGCTTCACGGCCCCTTTGATCACCTGCTCTGGGCTGACAGCCTGGAGGGGGACGTAGACTGGGGCGTTCAGATACCAAACCCTCCGCTCAGAGCAGAGAACACCCAGCCTCTCCCCCAGGGGGGACAACTGTCTATAGGAGAAGCCCTGTCTTGGGTGCTGCAAAGTCAGGGTCAAACAGGGGTGGCCTTGCTTTCCAGGCCGACTGACTTCTCCTCGTCTCAGCTCTCACTCCACTCCAGTTTCAGGGACCACACTCTCCTGGTCACATCTTGGGAACAGGTTTGGCAGAATCAAGGGGTGCCATTCTGGGGACTCCGGAGTACCTGGACGAAGTTGCTTTCAAACACCACGGAGTCAGGAAACAGGTTGAATTCTGGAGAATGAACCATCTGGCAGAGCAGTCCCTCCTCCACACCCAGGCCCACTCCAGGGTTTGGTTCTCTATCCACAGGCAAGAGGCCCCTGAATTCTTCCCAGGCATTCAGGGAAGGAAAAGATGGATAGGATCTTTTGACTTTTACTGCCTTTGATTTCCAACAAGTCTTTCTTGGTGGAACTGATGACAACATTTCCACACATGCTCAGGGCTCAGGGGCTTGCTGCACATTTGTCCTGGGGTCTCGCTCTGGCCTTCCGGCCTTGGGCAGCTGGCCAAGGCCTGGGACCGCCAATCAGCTCACAATGATGAATGGATGACGTCATGAAAAACCAGGGCAAGCCTGCAGGAAAGGGAAATGTGCGGGAGCCTCCCTTTTCCTCTAGGGTGCTTTGCTGGCTGGCTGGTGCCCTAACATTCTCCAGCCCTTTTTGGAACCCAAGGACGCAGCTCCCCCAGAACTTGCTGAGAAGGTGGTGAGCAGGGCAGAAAGTGAGGAAGGAAGGCTGTAGGGAAGCTCCTTCTGCTCTTAATAGGAAGGATACCCTCCCTGCCTTTCAACACCCCCTTATTTTTAAAGCAACCTGCCTGCAGAAGAGTTTTCAGGGCTGTTAATTGAAAATCTAGCCTTCCCACGCTTTATACAATGGGAGCCCGCACATGCCCTGGTGCAGCTGCAGCAGGCTTTTCTGGTCATGGAAGCAGGTCTAGGTGCCTCTCTGAGCTCTGCTACGGCTGGCTGGTTACTTCCGCAGGCCCGTGTCCCTTAGGAGGTCAAACTGAAGGAGCAGTAGAAATAATGAGATTCTTACCCAGGGGCTGGGTTTGTGAGGATGCCAGCTGCGAGGAAAAGAACCCCGATGAGCAGCTCTGCTGATCAACAGGCCATTCCCGCTGTCAGAGCGACACTGTTCTTTATTCCTGAGCAAGAGGAAGAAAGAGCCCAAGTCCTGGGGTGGCTAGGTCAGGGCCGAAGAACCAGGCCGACTGACCGCCATTCAAATCCATTTCAAGGAGAGGGCGTACTCCAATTTGGACATTTCAGAATTTATTAAATAACACATTGACCATCAAGGTCAAAGGTGATCAATTTAGAAAAGCAATTTGACAAGCCATATATGAAATGTAAAGCTTGAAGATTTATTTTGCTATTTCATTATTAAATAAGGTAGAATGCTGAAAGGTCATAAGGTCATGAGATCCTGCGGTTTCACCAGCCCCTCCCCTGGTGTCATTTCTATTGTGCTCCCGCTCAAGCACCTGTAACAGCTCCCTGGTTGGTAAAGCAGCTTTCGCACTCACCTTCCGCGTTTTCTTTTGTTTACCACGTCAGGAAGCTGTCCTCCATGGTAACGTTCTCTAAGGATGGGGTCAGAGACTACATCCTATGGTGTACATTTCCCTAGCAACACACAGTACAAAAGTGCTGGCAGTTAGTACACCGATACAATGCTTTTCACAGTTAAAGCTTGCCCACAACAGTAAAACTTATTGGCTTAGATATATATGATTTAGTTATATTTGGCTATTGAAAAATTCAAAGGTTCCCTTCAACTGGGAAAATGACTTTTTTCTTTTTCATATAAATCTGTTGAGCCCACTTCTGTGGTGTGTGGAGGAAAGCTTCAGCACCAAGTCTAGAAAGTTAATTGTGAGGAGGTGAGCTTTTTGCTGTAAATAAAATACTAAGCATTGATATAAATCTGCTTTAAGATGTCTACCCCTTCCTAGCTGCTTCCCCTAAACCTCAAAAACTAGCACATTATATCCTTTAAAAAACCATTTTACACATGCTTAGTTGTATACTTTGGATCCATGCTCTCCATTCCTTTAGCAATAGGATATCTGATTAGGCACAAGTTTCTAGAATAAATATTATAATTTTTGGCCTCCCTTACAACTAGGTAAGGCCATATGAATATGTTTTGTCAAAAGGGAGATAATTCAAGTGTTAGGTGCAACTTCTGTGAGGAATCATTGTAGGAAGAGGAGTGCTCTTTTTCACTCCTTGCTTTTTCCTTTTGGCTGGAATACAGACTCGATGGCTGGCGCTTGAGCAGCCCTTTGGGTCACAACGCAGCATATAAGGATGGTAGCGTAGCAAGATAAAAGGGCTCCAGTTCTTTGAGGATCATGAAACTATCATACTAGTCTGAATGTGTACCTCCAGACATCTATTATGTATGAGAGAAATAAATTAGGGTTTTCTGTTATATTGAGCCAGATTTAAAACTAGCTGATAAAACAACATAAAATGACTATCTGCTCTTCTGGACCAGTTTCATAGGAAATGATAGTACTGTTTACCAATAATTCTAAGCAATGAAGAAGTTATGGTTAATTTATTGGAAATTAGGACCTTCTGGAGAAAGTTGTGTAACTACATATTTCAATAATATGAAAAATCATTGCTCTTGCCTTCCTGTGCATTCAGGGACATTGATGTTGCCACAGTTCTTGCCTTTTGTGCATTTGGCAACTGGCACTTTGGTGACAGTTTCCACAACTATGTTGACTCTCCATTGGTTTGAAACTAACGTCACTTTGGCAGTATCAGGTATCATTTCAAAGACTGCTCAGGAATGACCAGGATTCCTAGTTGCCAGTTGGGACTGGACCCAGGTTTTGTGTTTAAAGCTTATATAATTTTGGAGACTCTTAAAAATTAAAAGGTCTGGAGGGACAGGGGAACTGAGAGTTGTATAGCAGGTACAGAGCTTTGGTTTGGAAAGATGGCAAAGTCCTTGAAATGGGTGATGGTGACAGCTACGCAGCAATGTGAATGCACGTAATACCACCGACATGTACACCTAAAAATAGGTAAAATAGGACATTTTACATAGTACATTTTTACCACAGTAAAAAATGCTGGAACATAAAAGATAAAATTTTTTAAAAATTCCACAAAGTACGACATGAAATTGGCCCTTGGAAGAGCTGTGTGAATAAGGGGCCCTGAAACTTAAGCTTTATTATCTTCATGGTAAAGCTGTCGCATTAAAATCTGTGTCACTGTTAAAAAGAACTTTGTTACATAAGCAGTACTGGTGCTTTGTAGAACATTGGAGAATACAGACAAGTTAAAGAACAAACAAACAGCATATACCTACCTCCCAGGAAACATTACTGTAACAACTACCTGTATGTGCGTGTGTACCAAAATGAGATCATGCTCTAAAAAATCTTTATGACCTATTTATAACCTGTTTTATTCAGTCAACACTCTCTACCTTTGTGTTTTGGCATACTTTGATTTCATCTCATCTCATTTGATTTCCAGGCCATATCAAAATTTCTCCAATTAACTCCAATTATTCTTACACTTCTTTATCCAAATCAGTATCCAAACCAGGACCACATATTCCCCTGTGTTTATTTTGATCTAGTACAGTCCCTTTTTTAGGACACTTACTGGTAGAAGGAATTGAGTCAGTTGTTCTACAGAATGTCCCACCTTCTGGATTTGTCTGGCTACTTCCTCGTGGTACTTAGGTTGCTCGTTTAGCAACTATATTCCCTGTGAATTAGAAGTTATATATAAAGGGTTGGTGGATTCAGGTATTGTTTTTCTTTAATTAAAATAGTCATAATTTCTTAGTATGGAGCTACCATGGGATCCCAAAGAATGTCAGTAGGAAAATACATATAAAGAATAATTATCAGGCCCTGGCTGGTGTGGTTCAGTAGCTTTAGTGCCGATCTGCGAGCCAAAGGGTCACCAGTTCGATCCCCAGTCAGGGCACATGCCTGGGTTGCAGGCCAGGCCCCCAGTGGGGGTCACATGAGAGGCAGCCACATACTGCTGTTTCTCTCCCTCTCTTTCTCCCTCCCTTCCCCTCTCTCTAAAAATAAATAAATAAAATCTCTGGGGAAAAAAGAAAGAATAATTATCAGAAGAAAAATGATTTCAGGAAAAAGAATAAAGTTTTTGAAAAGAGTCTTTTCTGTACCCCCGGGGATATTAAATATAATATGGGAGCCTATTAAAAAAAATCAGAGACACCAAAATTAGGAGAAAAGAGACTGGGAAGGTAAGGAAAGCAATAGAAGAAAAGTCCATTAAAAATCTAAAAGTCACTTTAGAATCCACAAGAAGTGAAGTTGGTATGACAGAAAACTGAGTCAGTGACACATGACAGGCTTGAGAATATCCCACAGAACAGAGTAAAGAGGGCAAGAGCCCTGGTTGGTGTGGCTCAGTGGATTGAGCGCTGAGCTGTGAACCCAAAGGGTTGCCAGTTCGATTCCCAGTCAGGGCACATGCCTGGGTTGTGGACCAAAGAGGTCCCTGATTGGGGGTGTGTGAGAGGCAACCACACATCGACGTTTCTCTTCCTCTCTTTTTCCCTTCCTTCCCCTCCCTCTAAAAATAAATAAAATCTTAAAAAAAAAAGAAAGGCAAAGAGATGAAGTGACTAGAAAGAAAATTATAAATACAGAAGACATTTACATTGATCCAATAGGCAGGTAGAATCCCAGATGAAGAGGGAACAAATAGAATTTAAAAAGGAGTCGAAAACATAAAAGAAAAAGCCATTTCTGAAACAAAGAAAAAACCCACTCAATTTGGTAAATGAACAGGGATATTTACTATATCCCAGGTAAACTGAGCAAAGAAACCAGTGAGTCCAGACTTGGTCTTGTAAAGTTCCTAAATCTTAGGGTAACAAAAGCACCCTATACAAACATCCAGACAGAGGAAGCAGACAACCAATCTACCAAGGGGTATAAAATGAGACTGGCCTCAGGCTTCTATCAGGCAGTTTTAGATGGCATAAGACAATGGAACAATGTGGAAAGAATGCTGCAGAGAAAAGAATGCGACCCAATAATTCCATAAATGGCTAGAAATTCATTCCAAGATGAAGATAGCAAAAATAATCTTAAAACCCTAAGTACACTAGAATAAATAAACCTATAAGCTGGTTCTTTGAAAAAGAAAAATTAGGCAAACCACTAGCTAACAACGTAATTTTAAAGAAGGAAAACATAAAACTTGGAATAAGAAACACAAGTACAAATAACGAAGTATAGGCTTCTGGATAGAGGTCGTAGCAAGAAGCTGTATTACTTGAAGTCTAGTCCAGGTGGTCAGAAGACCCCAAGATACTGTGATTTAAACCAAACAGAAGTTTTGCTCTCTCTTACATAGCAGTCCAAAGGGAAGCATCCAGAGCTGGTAGCCTCAGCCAG